ACCCAACTCGAAGGGAAGGGTGCAACTCTATAATAAATTAATAAGATTCTTGAATGGAATGAATATCTAGCAAAGTACATTCCAACTCTATTACGCCAGAGCAGCTGGCCGGATGTGCTTGGCTTCAGGTTTCTGTAATATACCTAGAAATAGATGCATAGTGTGGAGAGCATGTTCTTTTTGTATGATATATATGCTAATAAAGGTATTCATCCTTTAGCGTTGGTTGACAATCGCCTATTAGCGCCTATTTAAACTAGTAAGTTCTACCTTAGTCAAACAGTAATTTAATGAATAAGAATTTTTATTATATTAAAATTTTTAATTTTTTTCATTTACTTAAACAATCATAAAATTTAGACATAATATTCAAAAAAAACTCTAAAATTATTTTTAAAAATTTAACAAATCTTTATTTTTTTTATCACATTCAATTATATTATTATACTCTTATTATGTACCAAATAAACCCATATAATTAACCGTTGATTAATTATCATTACTTATAATGTCACTTATCATTTTACACTCATGTGACACTAACTTGAATTTATATAACTGATAATTATTTTTTTATTTTTCTTGGATAAGTGAGATAGTATAATTGTCAAAAAAACACCAATTAACTACCAGATGAGTTTTTTACCCATCACTGCATGCGTTCTGGATCACTTCACATTACTGGGTCATAATATTTGCGTTTACTTTGGTAATGCATGAGATTAAGGGATGCTGCATGGAAATGATTTATACTACGTTCTGAAACATATGAATGCATAGTTCATTTTGTTTGCGAATGTATAATTATCGTGTATATATAAAACAATCTCGTTCTTTTTGTCCAGTTCACTGTTCCCTAGTTATCATGTGTCTTCATCCAATTTTTTTGCGGGATCTCATATAATAATAAACCTAATTCTTTAAAAAGAGACATGAAAATTTATTATCTCATTTATAGAGTCGGAAAATACAACAAATGATACATGTTTTATGCCTGTATAACCATCTCAACCCAAATGTGTTGCCATCGTGCATCTTTATATACAATTTTCAAACTAGAATTAACCTGTTCCCACTACCAATGGAGCCGGAAACTAGCTGCTTGCATTGCTGGATGCAGAAAATATGCACCTAGTGTCAATGCAGTGATGGTCAAATAGGGCAATCGAATAAATTCCTTGTAGTAATCTTTGGGCAACTTTTGACGGCCATCGAGGATAGCTGCAAATGGAATGATGCTTGTTCGCTTCTTTACAACTTCAAAAGTCTCGCCATGTTGCATAGCCAGTCTCCTGTCACCATTCCAAACACCGAATAGATGATGTCCAATCAAACCGATTGAGGCTGCAATGGCTACAGAGTTTCCAATCCAAATTGTGTGGGCCAAGCACCAGATAACCTGCCCTACCATCTGAAAAGATAGAGAAGGTAAAAATTTGACACTATGAAACATAGAACAAGGAACAGCAAGTGTTCCACAAGAAGATGCCTAGAAAGTAAACAAATAAAA